GGAAAAATTGAAAATTTAAAGTTTATTTTAACAGACGAAAAAAACTAATTGCAGCAATTAAAAAAAAAAAAAAGAGGCGTTAGAACATTGATGGATAATTGAATTGAATGAAAAACAACTAACATATGGATTAATACTTTCCAATGTTACATGTGATCGTCTGGAGATCTCAAAAAATTGTCCTAAACCAGCAACGCTAAAAATCAATGCTTTTCTTTAGTCTTCTGTATTCATTCTATTAATTAGTCAAATAATTGGCTTAAATTTTTTCAACTCTAAAATCTAAACAAGTAAAAAGTTCTTTTAATTTTTGTAATAAAGTTTTGGTCAACAATTTGTTGGCTGTATATTTGCCAAAAAATTGCTGATACTAACATTTGGCTAACAATAACAGCAAAAAGAATACCTATTTGTTACACGAATATCTGGTACCCATATTTCCCATTGATTTAGTGTCAGTTTTTTAATTCCATAATATTTACTCGGATCCCAAACAGCATATTCATCTGCCCAACGCTATAAGAAATTATGTAAAAAAATTGACAAGAAAAAGTCTTTTTTTTTTTTGCAAAAATAACTTTCATCTTTTAAACATATAAAAATGATGCTCTTTGAAATAATATTATCTTAACAATTACAACTGTTTACAGTAATTGTAGTAACAGAATTTATACAATATAATTTTACAACTGTGTACTCGTCGTATATCGTCATTATGGTACAATTAGATTAAGCATTAAATGTGTCGTTTTATTGCTCTTTATAGTGATCAATTTTAAAAAGTCTAATAAACTCTTGAACAACATTACAACAGTTTTTTTTTTCTTTTAAATATAGCAAACAAATCAAATTTATTAAATAGAAACTGCAAAAAAAAAAAAAAAAAAAAGCCTACCAAATTTGATTATTGTCAACAAGAAAATTTTTTTGACTTATATTATACTTGAAAAATTGACATACCATAGTAATAATTCCGGCCAATGTTAAAGTTTGTTCTCTTTGATCAACAGAAATATGTGTCAGATGTACAAATGCATTAACATATGTCGGTGTATACTGATAAAGAACTGGTCGACGTTTTTTGTCATAACCTTTTAAGACAGCTTTTTGAAGTTCTGATTGAACTTTTGTATAACCTTGTTCAGCGATTTCTAAACAAAAAAAAAAAAAAAAAGAAAAAAAAGACAGGTAAAAGAATCAAGTTAACAATCATTTGTAATCAACTTTTATTTCAAAAATATTAAAAAGAAAACGTCAAAAAGTTAATCGACAAAGTAAAAGATAGATGAAAGCTGCAGTAATTTGTTATGCTTCTCCTAAATTACTAAAAACACATTTTTTACTAACTTTTTTGTACAGTTAATTAAGTTTTAAGACCTATTACTTGCAGTATGTAAAGCAAAAGAAGAGTTCAATTAAGAACCGGTTGGTCTTAAGTAAAGTAATCAAAAATTAGGATAAGTTTATCCGTTCAAAACTTCCTGATGATTACCTTCATCATCATTTGCGTTGGCTACATCGTCGACCGACGAACGTGCTATACAAACTGTATGCTGCAGAAGCAGTAGTGTTACAGAAGAATATATCAGGAGGTAGAAGTTCATTTGAGAAGCCCTGAACGCAAGCAAAACGAACAAAGCAGTTCAGTGATCGACTTTTGTTGGTTTACTTGCGCTCAGTGATATTCTCCGTAATAATATTTGCGCAGTTTGTTGAGCATGAAAATTTTTGGTCAGTAAATTAATACCAATAAACAATAGCAGCAATAATTTTACAGTTTTTTTTCTACTATGTATTTTTGTTCTTTCCCGTCTTTTTTTTTTTTTTTGCTTAGCTTTATACATATTGGGGTCAATAAATATTTTTTTACTATTGATTTTGGCTGCTATGGTTGATAATCAACGAAAACGGCAGTTGAAAGATCGTTAGACTAAATAAACGTTCAGAGTTGAAATCAGCTAAATTTTTTTGCCAAATTTTTACCGGCCAAACGTTGGGACGATATTTGGGTGAAGCCAACTGTCAATGTTTATCGTTACAGTTTGAAAGACCAAAATTGGACGACTGTTTTTTTTTTTTCATTTTTTTTTGGCTACCGCCCTGAAGACGTTGACGGTTTTTGGCAAACTGATAGCCGTTATATTAAACAACATATCGACGATACAATAAAGTGTTGTGGCAAGAAAAAAAAAAA